TTCAACACTAATTTTTCAGACTTTGGGACACATTTACTTCAAAACAATGGGATCTAACTGCTCACCATGTGGCCTTAAAGAACGGGGATGCGGTCTCACTTCCTGCCCTAAAATGCAGGGGTGTGGCTAAAATAAAGCTCCACCCATGGACTAAAAAAATGGAAACAGAAATGGAACATTTTTTGAATAAAGGTGTTTTTTGTTTTATTTTTTTAGCAATGTAAGTAGCTGGGCTCCCTAAGCGTTGGCCCTATCATCAGGAGATCGCAAGTTCGATCCCTGGTGATGCTACAGCCATCCATGGCCTCGCTCTCTCTGGGTGAGTAGGATGCCCCCCCCTCCCCCCATCACTCAACGTGATGGTGGTCAGAGCGGGCATCAGTTAGCTGACATAACAGATCTGGCGGTTGGCGCTTTCCTCCAAGCGCGTTCGGCTGTCCAATGACGTTGCGTGAGCGGCAGTTCAAAAAGATGTGGTGGCTGGTTTCACAGGTCTCAGAGGAAGCCTGTGTTAGCCTTCGCCCTCCTAGCGTTGATAGTATCACGTGACTGGGGGAGTCCTAACTAGTGGGTGGAATTGGAGACGACTAAATTGGGTAAAAATGCAAAAAAACAATGTAAGTAGCTACATTAGCTGCGAGAGGAAGCTCTAACCACACAGCTCGCTCACAAAATACTTTATGAGTGTGCTTTTTTGATGGCAATCATTTTAATTAGAGTAAAGAAGCAGGACTCGGTTATTGCTAGCTAGTCAGTGTCTTTTATTGATTTAATATACTGACACTTAGGCTACATTCACACAGCAGGTAAAAGTGTCCCAAGTCTCATTTTCTCACCAAATCTGATTTTGATCAGCTCCTAAACTGACCCGCATGCGCAAAAGAACAATGCTTCACGTTGCTTCATGTGGCTCATCCAGAGGTAAACAATCATAACTGCCAACGAACGCCAGTCGCTCCCAGAGGATCAGCTTCATCTTCACCAGCATCACAGGAGCCATCATGAAGCTTCATTGACTGACCACTGGGCTCATCACCCAGAATGTGTTTGAGCTCGCTGTGAAAAGGCCACGGTCACTTTGTTCATGTCTTCAGATTTTTTAAACTTTGCTTTCAGACCTTTAGCTGTTCTTTGACGCTGCAGCCTCGCTCTCCTACGGCCACGTTCAGTCATTTCTTTCGTAATCTCTTCGGACATGGAGCGTTTACGATAAGCGCCTTCTAATTTTTTGGTACAGAAACATCAGCCCAAATGTTTCCGAGGTCTCAGCAGCACAAAATTATGATGAGTGCTGAGTTGGATCGAAGTAAAAGTCGCATGAATTTGCATTGCTGCAGATCGGATATGTATCGGATTTCAGTACCACATATGAAAGCGTCTCAAACTGGAAGTGAAAATGTCAGATTCAGTGTGTTTGTTGCTGTTCACACAGACGCATATGAAGAAAAAGATTGCATTTGGGCCACTTTTACCTGCTGTGTGAACAAAGCCTTATAGAACGTTAGCGCTCCAGCTGGTCACTTAGCGCTTGCTAATTTACCTCAGAAAACTGTACGAGCTTGCGAGCGAGTGAAAGAGGACAGAGTAAGAAAGAATGTACCTCTTAAGGACGAATAGGAAGCAGTCAGTCTGCTGACGGAGTCTTAGCATCACTGTGTGGGTTTCAAAACCAATAAAATCACAGTTACGTATCTGATTTGACTTGCCGTGTTACGAGTCTGGAGGTGCTGCAGTTCCATCTAACCATGAACAATATGCCTTACTCATCTATGGAGCAATATCAAGTGAGCATTATCATCAATACAAATGGGTACAAATAAAAATAGAGCTGCAACATCTGTGCAATGATGTAACACCTGAATCATCCCCTCAGAAACTGTTCACATGAGGTATTAGAGTGTGTTTGTGTGAGCAAGTGAGTGAGCAAGTCCCAATTAGCTGAAGTCTGGTTTTGTGGACCAAGGACAAAGTGAAAGAAAGTCACCTCTGCGTCAAAGCACTAAGAAAATATCAAGTCTGACGTCACGTTTTAGCACTGTTATTTAAAAGGAAAACACTGATTGGGCCTATCTGAGCCGATAACACTGCCCTGTATTCACCTGTTCTTGAGCTAAGAATAGGCTACGCAGGAAGGCTATCCAACAAGACACATTGTATTTTTTTCTGCAATATGACTTTGTGCAAATATTTTATCATTTTTCTAGCTAAACAGACTGTTATTCTGACCTTTATTGTCATTTGGAGCAATACTTACGATTGTGTCATAAAAAAAAAACCTTCATATCTGAAAGGATTACAGGAGAATAATGAAAAAAGAATTTGATCATTAATGTAACAAAGTAATTTTGGACCATTTTCATCAGTTCTGAAGGACTAGTACTTGTACAATAAAACGCTTTTGGTTTGAGTGACTTTCTACCTTAATTATGTTTATTTTATTCAAATAAATGACTGAACAGTCCATTGTGTCTCTACCAAAACAATCATAGCGCTACCAAAACTTTACCAAACGTCTCAGTAATGACTGTTTCGGTAGTGACAATTTTAGCTCATTTTGATTAAAAAATCCTAGCCAGTACATGACTAGCAAACACAGCTTTGAACAGCTGTCCACACATGAAATCAGAATATTCTTCATTAAAACACAAAAAAGACTTCAAAACAATGGGATCTAACAGGTCACCACGTGGCCATGAGGGACAGGGATGCAGTCTCACTTCCTGCTCTACAATGCAGAGGCATGGCTAAAATAAGACTCTGCCTATGGACTAAAACTCTTTGTGTTTTGGTAGTGAATACAGTGGAATACAACAATCTAAATCTTTGAACTTCACTTTTTTAAAAGACATGAAAAACCTTATTTATAAAAAAAAAAAAAAAAACATTGATTACGTTTACATGCGCTATAATCTGATAATAACCAGTTATCTGATCATTCAAATGGTCATGCGAACAGCACAACAACAGATCGGAGTAAGGTCTAGAAATCTGATTAAGGAATCCGATAAAAAGAGTTGGATTTTAGCTCAGTAATCAGATTTCTCAGAGCATGTAAACTCTTACTTCCGATTTCTCAGTCTGCATATGTGTGAAAACAGATGGTACTGGAAATGAGCACGCAGCGTTGCTGCGACATGCAGCAAAACACTTTTGGAGCAACGTTGAAACCTAATATATGCTGGACGAAATGAAGAATTTAAAATCTTCATTTCTAGATGACATATGTTCATATTTTCAGGTAATGTGACAAATGTTTTAAAAAAAAAGCTGCGGCATGAAGTTTGAGTTTTACATTATGCTTACGCCACGTCTTCTTCTGTGAGTTTATTGGCTGGTTGCAGAGCAGAAATCTGATTACTGTCTGACTCATGTAGACCTGGAGTTTCCCCATTATCTGATTACTCAAGTGCATGAAAACATGTTGAACAAATTACTGACAAAATCTGATTTCCTGCAGTTGTAAGATTGCATGAAATGCACTCATTGACAATGAAAACAAGCTTCATCAGAACCTGTTCCTTTAAGACTGAACTGAGCTCCGTTCTAATTGCCGGGCCAGTTCTGAGCCTCAATCAGAAAGCAGTCCGAACTGAAACACTCCTTATAACGTCAGCATGAATGGACGGAGCTGAACTACTGTAGGCTGAATAGGCATCACAAAAACAATGACTGTTTTTGCAGCTTAGTTTCTATATATATGTGGACTGTACAGCCTGGGAGGTGAACAGTATATTCTGTAACTATGGTAAATTTTGAAAATGATCGGATTTGGTGGAGAAGCAGGTTTATTGGTAAAGGAAAAATGGCCAAAACAGTGATGGAACACGATTTTTTTTTTAAAAAATGTTGCATTTATTGTGAATGAATTGTTTTACACTGCATTGTCTCCGGGTGGCGAAGTGGAACAGTGACTTCAGCCCGCACCGCCTGCCGTCGCTGAACTTTTGAGGCTACAGTCGTGTATGACTGACAGAGGGCTGTGAAAACTGCTCTGCCGAAACAAAAAATAAAGGTTCAAATCCCTCTGTGAGCGAGACCCATATGGAGCAAGTGTGCGTGAGTTTGCATCAATAGTTCATTTTCTTTCACCAGCAGTTTTTTTGGAAGTTTGCTTAAAATTTGCCCTGCTGTTGTTCACCTACAGCGCCAACTCTCTTTAAAGGGAAACTCCACTGATTTTTCAACATTTCTGCATAATTGAATGGTTAACATGTCAGCAAAATCATTCAGAGTGGTTTGATACGAAATGTTTTGTTTTAGAAAAACTTACATAGTCAGAATTGTTCACAGTGGTGGTGATAGGAACCAGACGTCTGAGGAGTTTAACGCCTCTAAAAAGTCCCTCACAGAAAGAAAGTCTACATTCAGTGGCTATGAATACACTGCCTGGAGACATTGTTTTACAGTAGTTTTGGTCTAAAATGTATTTTAATCAATTTATGTTAATCCATTCATGGTGGATGGATACATAAGAGGTGTTCTAAGAGCAAACTAGTCCCCAAAGAAAACTTATTTTATCAGATTGACCCTTATTTTTACCATCATCAATGTTACAAAAAACCTGAGAAAACAGGGGGAGGTTCACTGGTGGTTTTCAATAGTAAATAAAATGGCTATATTTGCATTGTGGACATCTGGACTCCTGGTTCCTATCACCACCACTGTGAAGAAATCTGAGTTAAGTTTCAAAGCACTCTGAATGACTTTATTTATATATCAACAACTGAAATATCCAGAGATTTTGAAAAATAGGTGGAATTCCCTTATAAATCAATAAAAAAGGCTTTTCAATGATATGGGCCCTTTAATCCAAGGGACATTTTGGGGTCCCCTGAAAGGCTTAAATGCTCGCTCAGATACACACACACACACACACACACACACACAAACACAAATACATAGGCCTATATATAAATTACATGCCCCGTGCACGAGCGCACACACGCGCACTGATTTGTATCAACACCTCCCCCTTTTCGTCCCTGAGGTGAGTTCTCGCGGAAGAGCCGTTACCTGGTTACAGCCGGGCGATGGAGCACCGAGTCATAACGAGCTGACGAGCATCTAGAAACGCAGAGCTGATGCCTGAGGAGGACTCCGCGCCTCGCGCTCTCTATTGGAGGGGACACGAGACAGGACAGGAGACTTTTTTTCCCGCGTCGCGCTTTTCCCGCCTTTCAAGCTGCCTCGAGTCGCGCGCCGAGCGGTTGGAACGCCGCTGCGCTGTAGAACAGCCGCGTTAACGCAAGTAAAGCTAAAACGTTAGCTCAAAAAATAAACATACTGACAGAAAACAGCGCAGAAAAGAGACTTTACTGCCTCATTCCTGTCAGGATGAGTCCCGAGGGATCACAGTCTGGCGCTTTCACTCGGTTTAGTCAAGGTAAGTTTGGATTTTTTTCCTCGCTGTTTTCTTCCCTGCTGAAAAAACAGAAACCATTAGCAGAAATGCCTCTGTTAAGTTACTTCCTAATGGTTTTGTAATGTGTTTATGTTTAATATCACAATGTAAACGATCCAAATCCTTTAACAGGTGACCAATGACTGATTCTGAATGCACTTGATGGTTTCCTAATGGAATCTAAAGGTATTCTACAGGAAACTATACTGGTCTCTATCGGAAACTCTAAAGCCAATTCAAATTGGAAAGCAAAACCATGAGGTTTTAATGCTAATGGCTGCTAATGGTCCTTTTTCAGCAGGGTTGTGCTTAGCAACACCAAGCGCAACTCGTTTGAGGGATTTCCCACTTTAAATCTCTGCAGTGTGAAAAACCTGAGGACCGAGGCAGGTCAGGGAAAAGTGTCTGCCTCAAACTCGGCTCAACTGTAACAGTGTGGGATAATAACACCATTAAATAAGAGCACCGTTGAGGAGAAGGCGCATGGTGCTGCAGGTGTTGTTAGGCTCTAATTGCTTTGGGGGGAATTAAGTTGCCCAAGTGCAGTGAGCTGTGTTTTAATCCGTATTCAACCATGGGACTGCGTTGGTCTGTGATACACACGAGCAGCTCCATTTTATCAGCTCCATCGACCGTACAGGAGCGCTTTGTAGTTCTGCAGTTACAGACTGTAGTCCATCTGTTTCTCTGCATACTCTGTTTGCCTGTTCTCCAATGGTCAGGACCCCCACAGGACCACCATAGAGCAGGTATTATTTGTGTGGTGGATCATTCTCATCACTGACGTGGTGGTGGTGTGTTAATGTGTGTTGCGCTGGTGTGAGTGGATCAGACACAGCAGTGCTGCTGGAGTTTTTAAACACCTCAGTGTCGCTGCTGGACTAAGAACCAAAAATATCCAGCCAACAGAGTCCTATGTTCAGCGTCCTGTGACCACTGATGAAGGACTAGAGGATGACCAACACAAACTGTACAGCAGCAGATGAGCTACTGTCTCTGACTTTACATCCACAAGGTGGACTGACCAGGTGGAGTAGAGTGGACAGTGAGTGGACACTCGTACCAGCGCAACACACACTAACATGCCACCACCACATCAGTGTCACTGCAGTTCTGAGAATGATCCTCCACTCAAATTAGACCTGCTCTGTGGGGGTGCTGACCATTGAAGAACAGGGTAATAAAGTATGCAGAGAAACAGATGGACTAAAGTCTGTAGAACTACCAAGTGGTCCTATATGGTCAGTGGGCTGATAATATGGACATTTCATGAGGCATGCACCATAGCATTGGAATCATTTCGATATTAACAGATAATTGCTTAAAAAAGCCCGGCACAAATAAATATAAACAGGTCATTAGGGATGCACAGTATTTTGGCACTTAATTGATTAAAAAAGTATCAGCTTTGATCAATGTTTAGATTTGACCGATATTTCAAACTGATATTTGAAGAGCAGAATTTGTACTCGACGCCGTGCATTTTATATATAGTTTATATTTCTCTGTAAAGTTTCTTAATTTCTATATTTCATATGTGTTTTGGCATCAGGGGTGTTTACATGCACTCAGTAATCTGATAACTGCAGAAAATGAGATTTTGTCAGTAATTGGTTCAGCGCGTTTTCTTGCACTTGGGTAATCACTTAATGAGAAAAATCCAGGTCTACATGAGTCAGGCAGTAATCGGATTTCTGCTCTGCAACCAGCCAGTAAACTCACAGAGTAAGACGTGATGTAAACGTAACGTCAAACATAAACATCAGGCTTTTTTTTAACATTGTCACTTTACCAGAAAATGTGAAAGAACATCATCTAGAAGTGTTTTGTTGGCATCTCGCTGGAGCTGTGACAGACTATGAACAACGAAAGAAATCAGAGTAAGAGTACACATGCACTAAAAAAGCTGATCACAGCTTTTTTTATTGGATTTCTAAAAATCTAACGGCCTTATTCCGATCTAAAATCAGAGTATGCGGTTTACGTGACCACTTGAAGAATCAGACAACTGCCGAATCTGATAACATTCACATTATTGGCGTGCATCTAAATGCACTGAATGGCAAATATGTACTTAAAAATATCGACATTGGTTTACAATTCCCATGATTTCTTAATGGTTGTGACATGCAATGTACTGTACAGTTGCTGATGGTACAAAACCTCATACTTTCATCCAGAAACCTTATACTTTCATCCAAAAACACGTTATTAAGTTGTAGTGTAACAAGATTTTTTCCAAGTAATTTTGGATCATTTCTATTGGTCCATTCATTGTGGCTTTTTAAACATGGTGTGAAAATATTTTCAAATTGTGCAAATAAGTAAAAATGAAACAAAAACAGAGATACAAGTAGATGTGTTTGATATGGCAAAAAATACAATATTGCGATACTTCGACATTTTCATGATACACAGTCTGTCATGGTATTTATTTTTTCAGACATCTAATCAGTTGGAAAAGAGAAAAAATAATTAGTTGTGCTACATTTTAAAATATACTGTCAAAAACTGTGATTATACTGATTTTCATCCAATATTTTGCATTCTGTGTTGCACTAAATCCACTAAATCAGTAGTGCTTGTAGAACTGACCAACTGCATGTTTCAATATAAAGAGAGCAACAGCTATATTTCCAGCAGGACTAATGTTGCTCTCTTTATATTGAAACATGCAGTTGGTCAGTTCTACAAGCACTACTGATATCCACAGTATGCTCAGAAAAGTGTACTGTATTGTGATACATACATTTTCATATTGCCCAGCCCTGTACTCAAGGTTTTAGCTCAGCAACGATGATTTATAAGGTCTATGTGTTACTTCAGTAATGATGTATAAGTAGCCTTCACAAACCTGTTTGTTCTTTGATAAAGTTATATATAGAACCATTCCAATTTAACATACCATGATTGCTTAAATCGTTCTTATCATGCTTAAATTGTTCTCAGATTTGTTGTTCTCTGTGATTGAGATCATATTGTATATGGTTCTTTAAAGAAGTGGTTTTCAATCCCATTCCTGCAGACCCACTGCACGGTTTCAGGTATTCGCTTTCCTCCAACACACCTGATCCAGCTCATAAAGAGCTTGATAATTACCTGATGAGCCAGACCAGCTGTGTTGGAGGCAAAAAACACCTGAAGCTGCGCAGAGCTTTGGGTCCCCAGGACTGAGATTGAAAACTACTGCTTTAAAGAGCCTGTTTTTACTGATTTGGCAATGTATAGACCCCTCTTTGTAAACAGTGTGCAACAAAAGAATATTACGACTGTGAAAAGATCGTAATTTGTATTCTATATTAGATGTGTAAAGCATAGCCAAGCAGCACCAAGCTATAATAAAAAGTTTTTGTCACACTGCTGCAAAAATAATCAAAATACACCAGCCTCTCTCCTCTCACCATGAGTTCTAGACACGGATCTGACGTCTTTGAAGGCAGCTACTCTTTGGTAGGGGTATGCTTAGGGCTGTGCTTTGGTATACTTTTCTTCAGTCACTTGTCATAGCCTGCATGTGGGTTGGCGCTGCCTCCACGTGATTTTGCTGAAACTGGAATTCTCTCCTGCCAAGTGGGCTGACTGATGACTTAACATTTCTGTGGAGAGTTATAGCTACAGAGCTTTGCACGACTCCGTTTTCAAGTACGTCCATTAGACTTCGCTTTTCTTCCTCACGGCATGATGTGTAGGCACAGGTCAGTCGGCCCTGCCTTAAAGGAATTTACACAATATCCACCTCAGACTAAATGCGGACTATCACATCTGGCATGTTTAGTGCTTGAAGTTTGCTTGTTTGGTTATATGGTTTCTGACCAGTTGTAATTTATAAAAATTGACAGGCCTCAAGACAGATGTACGTATGTTTGTCCATTTTTACAGATAACAGTATGCCTCACAGTGCCAGGAAACACATATTTGACAATACTTATCAGCTTAAAGGGGAATTCCACACAGGTTTTCAAAAATTCTTCATCATTCAATCATTGAGATGTAAATAGAGTCCTTAGGAGTGGTTTGATGTAAAGTGGCTTACTGTAAAGAAACAGCGGTGATAGGAACCAGGGGTTGTTATATTTATTACGCAAATATAGCCATTTTATTTACTATCACAAACTACCAGTGAACCCACATGTTTATGATGATAAAACAGTGGTAAGTTGGAAAAAAATAGTTTTCTTTAGGGACTATTTTGCCTTAAAATGTTCTGCATGTACCTATCTGCCATTAATATGCTTTAAAAATAAGTTTACAAATCTAAATTCAAAGCAATTCCAAAATAGTTTAACTTTTAGAGCCATTAAACTCTTCAGATGTCTGGTTCCTATCACCACCGCTGTGAACAATGCTGACTCAGTAAGTTTCTCTAGAACGGAACACAAACCACTTTTCACACCAAACCACTCTGAATGACTTTGTTTACATCTAAACAAACTGCGCAGAAGTTTTGAAAAATCAAATGATGTAATGTTTTAGGTAGGGTCGAACCAAAATCCAGATAAACAATAATGTTGGCCAATATAGTTAAATGTTTATATTTAAAATGTTAATTTTATACTCTTCTTGTGAAGAGTGCTTTACTGACTGATATGATTGTCTGTTTCACATTTCTTAAAATACAACAGAAGAAATATTACAGTCCATGTTCAAGTTAATAATTCAGCCTTTATTGTTGAATAGATAAACTGGTGATGGTTGTTACAGATTTCCCAAATGATCTGATTAAAGATCAGCAGAAGACCATAAGTTTGAGTTCTGGTGATGCTACAACCACAAAAAGATGTGAATTATCAGGGCATTATCTGAGCTGATACTGACAATATAAGCCAGTATTATCATCCAGCTGATATATTGATGAGGCTCTAATTTTAGGATCATAGTATCATTGCAAAACTAAAAAAGCAAACTTCAGTTCCCTAACATGTCTTAACTGGTTGACAACATTTGAGAAAATGTGAACTTATGTATTTTTTTTTTGTTTTTTT